AAGACATCAAATATATTCAAACATATTCAGACTCCCTAAATATATATATATACTGATTAATATATATATATTATATATATATATATATCTAACGATGAACTTAAAAGACCTCTACACGAAAAACTACAAAACACTGCTAAGAGAAAATTTTAAAGACCTGAATAAATGAAGTGATATACCATGTTCATGGATTGGAAGATTCAGTATTTTTAAGCTGTCAGTTCTCCCCACATTGATTTATAGATTCAATGCAATTCTAACCAAAATCCCACAAAGGGAAGTGTGTGTGTGAGACAGAGAAAACTGTCAAGTTATTTCTAAAATTTATATAGTAATGCAAAGGACCTAGAGTAGCCAAAGTAATCCTGGATAAAAAGAAACTGGGAGGATGTACATTAGTGAATTTCAAGACTATACTTGGAAGGTACAATTGTTTTCAAGGGTAGATAAATAGAAGATGGAATGAAATAGCAAGTATGAATTGATCCAAGTAGACATGGACACTTGATTTATCACAAAAGCAAGACTATAATACAGCAGGAGAAAGGATGGTCTTTTCAATAAATGGTGCTGGGACAATTGGACATTCACATGGTGGAAAGAAAGGAAAGAAAATTAATTCCTGCCTCCCTACACAAAAATTAATTCCAGGTGGAATGTAAATCTAAATGTGAAACAATAAGGCTCCTAAAAAATAGCAATACAAAATTTTATCATGACCTTGGGATAGAAAAATATTTCTTAAACTGGCCACAGCAAAAAACATCATAAAAGACCAATAAATTGGACTTCATAAAAATTAAGAACTTTTATTCATCAAGATTCCATGAAAACAGTGAGAATGCAAGCTATAGATGGGGAGAAAATACAGGAAAAATCTATAACTAACAAAGCACTCATATCCAAATACACAAAGAAATTGCTACAGATCAGTAAGAAAAAATCTGACGTGCAATACTTTTAAGAATGTGCATAAAACAAAACAAAAACAAATGAAAAAAGTGGGCAAAATATTTGCACAGGTGCTTCACAAAAGAGGATATCCAAGTGTCCCACAAACACATAAAAAGGTGCTCAACCTCATTATGAGTCAGAAAAATGCTAATTAAAGCCACCATAAAATATCACCAAACACCCACCAGAATGACTACAAAGTAACAACAGACAATGTCAAGTGTTGACCAACTGTGGAGCAACTGAAATGTCACATACTGCATGCAGGTGCCAGTGTGAATTGGTATAACCACTTGGAAAACGGTTTTGGTGTTTCCCACTAAAGTTGAGTAGACACATCCCCTATGACCCAGCAAATCTACTTCTAGGTAGATGCCCAGCAGAAATGCACATATTCTCATAATATACCTGGAGATGACCCACACTTCCAACAACCATAGAGTCGATAAAGAAATAGACAGCAGCATATTCCTACGTGGAAATGAACAAACCATAGCTACGCCCACGAAAACAGATGAGTCACTGACATGGTGTTAAGCACAAGAAGCCATATGTAAGAGAATATGCTGTACGACTCCATTTATGAGAAATTAAATGAACAGGCAACCAGTCTATGGTGATAGAAGATGGAGAGTGGTTACCCCTGGGGGTAGTGGTTACTCCTTGGGAAGGAGCCTCTCAGGACACAAACTGCTTCTTGTCTTTGGTGGTTGCTACATGTGTATTTGCCTGGTGACGATTCACTGAGCTTGTCAGGCATGTCTTTTTTTGCACGCCTGTTATATATCAATCTTTTCTTTTTTTCTTTTTTGGTGGCTGGCCAGTCCAGGGATACGAACCCTTGACCTTGGTGTTATCACCACCACGCTCTAGCCAACTGAGCTAACCAGCCAGCCCTTGATTTTTAAAATGGTACTTTTTCAAAAAGCCAGTACAGGCTGGTAGTTTGGATAGTGAGAACTTTGCTCTTCTGTTTGTGGACTGTGTATCTGGAGCAAATTAGTTCATCTCTCTGAGCCTCTTTTTCTCATCTATACAGTTGGGATGAGGACAGTTGCAGAAAGGAGCCGCCATGAGGATTAAGTATTCATACCACCTCCTAACACGTATGAAACCCGTTCTCCATTCCAGTCGCTGTTTTGAGAGCATTAGGCACTTTTAAGTTACCGCCTTCTCATATAATCTTCCTAAGTGGGTACTAGGAATCCCCCCAATCTCCTGTGCGAAGTCCTTGAACCAGCGTGGATTCAAACTTCAGCAGCTTTCAGATTTCAGAAAGGTGATATGTTGCCTGCACCCTGTGGCATCCCTTGCCTTGTCCTGCAGGGTCCGGCAGGACTCAGGACGCCCATCCCAGGCAACTCTGTGCTGGGGGTCCCTTGGGGGAAAACACCAGAGGCGGGAAGCACGTCGGTGCCCACTGCCTGGAATGCGTGGACGATCCAATGGGTGTTCTTAACAAGGAAGCAGAGATTTTTGCTGGGAGAGCATTTATCAGGATGAGGGGTGTGGGGAGAGACCCTGGGGGAGGCCGGGTTTGTGGTCAGGTGTGTATGGGGGGGGTCGCTGACAGTTCTGAGCTGAGCCAGCAGGGACAGAGAGGAGGGCGGTGCCCAGACAGAATGGGGAGACAGACTCAGCCCAGGTGGTGACCGATGGGGTGTGGGGTGAGGTACAGGGCAGACCAGGGGATCAAGCTGTGGCTGCTGCAGGAAGGAAGACATCAGGCAGGACTTCCAGGACAGCATGCAAAGTAGAAGTGTGGTTTAAAATGCCCAGTCTGCAGGGGAGTCACAGTCCTGCCCTGGAGATCAGGGCTGAATCCTGGGAGTCCGAGGGGACCCAGCCCTACCCTGGGGCGCGCGTGGAGAGGCTGGGGAAGCTCACCTTGCTCTCGGGCCTGCTGAAGGGGATCTGGAGCCGGTCCATTGCCTCAATCATGGCCCGCATGGACACGAAAATGTTCTGGTAGACCAGCGGCCGGAAGCCCTTGCGGTCCTCTTCGGAGTAGCCGGCTCCGTGGATGATCCGCATCTGCTTGATGAAGGTGCTCTTCCCGCTCTCGCCGGGCCCTGGGGAAACAAGGCCATGGGACCGATCAGCCCTCCACAGGGGCTCCTGACACCACCAGACACCCCAGGTCATCCTGGGTGGAACCTGCCCCACCGCCAGGCCTCCTGGGTTCAAATCCCCGCATGGCCAGGGCCTCGTTTTGTGACCCTGGGCGAGTGACTTCACTGCTCTGTGCCTCAGTTTCCTCATCTGTAAAATGTGGACTGCTGTAGACACTGCCTGCTGAATGGATGTGAGCGTCGAGTGAATTAATACTAAAATGCTCACACCAGGGGCCTGCAGGCCAAATCCAGCCAGCTGCCTGTTTTTGTATGTCCAGCAAGTTTTTATATTTTGTATCATTTTACCATTTCTAATACTTTTTATGATTATGGTTCTTACATTTTTAAAAGATTGAAGAGAATCAAAGTAATATTTTGTGCGAGGTGAAAATTACACAAAATTCACATTTCGATGTCCATAAATAAAATTTTATCAGTGCACGGCCCCACCCATTTGTTTATGCAGCATCCTTGGCTGCAGCAGCGCTGAGTAGTCCTGACAGAGGCTGTCTGGCCCAAAAAGCAGAAACTATTTACTATCTGACCCTTTACAGAAGAAGTGTGCTGACTATCCCTGGCTTAGCGCCATGGTAAGCACTGCGTAAGTGTTCTATATTATTCTGATTTACCATATTAATAATAATAATGACTGTTATTGTTTGCTTTAATAATTTCATGTAGAGAAACTTTAAGGAAATAAATAAAAGAGGATAAAAGTAATTAGAAAATTAAATATAAAAGAAAAGAAAGAAAAAAATTTAATAAAAAAAGAGTAAGTGATTATTATAGCTGAGTGGTCAAGAAGGGCCTCTGAGCAGAAGAGACTTCTGCGGCTGAGATCTGAAGACTGGGAAGGTCGCTCTTGAGCCAAGATCTGGAGAAAGGGCACAACTGGCAGAGGAACAGCACGTGCAAAGGTCCTGGGGCAGGATCGAGCCTGGCATGTTGGAGGAACAGCGAGGAGGCCCGTGTGGCTGAAGCAGAGTGAGCAAGGGGGAGGGAAGAGGGGAGGGGATGGGGCAGGTCGTGCAGGGCCCGGTGGGCTGCGGGAGGACTTGGGCTAACCCCAAGGAAGGTGGGAGCCTTGGAGGGCTGTGGGCAGAGGAGGGAGGGGCCTGACTCAGGTGCTCACAGGCGCCCTCTGGCTGCTGCAGGGAGGACAGACTGTGGGGAGCAAGGGTGGGAACTGGGGGGGACCAGGCAGAAGTGACTGCAAGAATGGGGGTGGATCAAGGCAGCCACCATGGAGCTGCAGAGAAGGGGACATACTTGAGAGATATTTGGGAGACAAGATCACGTGGCCTTGCCGATGGGCCGAACAGAACAGGGAGCGGAACTTGCAGAGCCAGCCACAGAATGTACAGGGCCAGGTGCAGATGATAGGAGGGGGCGCTGCGGGACCTCCCAGATGCACACCCACGAAGCCGGCCCTGGGTCTGTGATAACAACACAGGAATCTTCGGGAGCCCAGGACTAGAAGCTCAGAGGCCAAGGCTTGGCTCCCTGCTGTCTGAGCTCCGAAATCCCAAGACCGCCCCTCCCCCGCTCTGGGCTTCTGTTTTCTCATCTGTAAAATGGGCACAGTATGCCCATTTTGCAGGTGGGAGGTGCGAGGCTGGGAGGCTCATCCAGCATCGTGTTCCCCTCGACCCCAGCTTCTGGGGGACACTGGCATGCAGATAGGATGGGAAGGGTAGGAAGAGGGGCTGGGATAAGGGTAGAGGGTTAGTGCAGAAGGAAACGAAACAGGGGCAAAAAAGGAAGGGAGTGGCCTGGTTGGAGCCCAGAAAGAGGAAACGGGAGCCACGGCAGGAGGAGTGTGGAAGGCGGGGAGACGGGAGGTCATCACCCCTCCCCCACCCCCCACCCCAGGGCTGGTCTCCCAGCTCTCCCCAGCACTGCTCAGCACCCGGTACATCTGGTGGCTGTGTGGCAGGTCTGGGGGCAGCCACCACCCCTCTCTGAGCCTTAGTTTCCCCAGGGATCAAGTTTATTGGACTCAAGGCCCAAGAAAATACTTGCATACCAGCAAAATGAGAATCGGGTCTGCAGCTTGGGGAGGGGGCTTCATGCCGGTCCCCTGCCTTCCATCACCATCCTACGGTTCTTGCTTTTCAGTGGGACTGGCACCCACTGAAGTATTTAGGGGTAAAAAGGTATCAGGTCTGCAACTTGTTCCAAAATGGTTCTGAGAAACGTGTGTGTGTGTGTGTGTGTGTGTGTGTGTGTGTTTAATATATAAATGTATCATAAACCACAGATACAATCATGCATTATATGAGTTACAAGCATATACATAGATACGTATGTAGAGTGTATATAAGGGTGATTCAAAAAGTTTGTGGAAAGATTCGTAATAGCTTTCAACTCTATTTTTCCACGAACTTTTTTTTTTTTCCTTTTTGTCTTTTTTCGTGACCGGTAACGGGATCGCAACCCTCGGTGTCACGCCCGCACCGTGCTCAACCAGTGAGCGGACCGGTCTCTATATGGGATCCAAACCCGCCGCGCTCCCAAGCGCCGCACTCTACCGAGTGCGCCACGGGGCCGGCCCTTCCACGAACTTTTTGAAGTACTCTCATGCATATGTATGTAGCCTATACCTATATATGTGTATCTATCTATCTATGGAGAGAGAAGGAGAGAGGAATAAAGGAAACATAGCAGGATGTTAACATTTGCAGAAGAATCCAGGTGCAACTTTTCTATACATTTGAAATTATTTCAAAACAAATTTGGGGGGGGCGGGTAGGGGATCTGAACCCACGACCTGGGTGTTGCCAGCACCATGCTCTCCCAAGTAAGCTAAACAGCCAGGCCTGGAAATTAAAATTTAAGAAAGAAAGAGGAAAAAACAAAAACAAAAACAAAAACCCTAAATGCAATGTGAGATTGGATCCTGGGACAGAAAGAAAAGGCCTGAGTGGAAAGATGGATCAAATCAAACAAAGTCTGGAGCGTAGCTGAGAGTCTGCACAGTAATATACCACGTTAATTGCTCCGTTGTGACAAAAGCCTGGTGCTCACCCAAGATGCTAACAACAGGCGAGCTGGTGAGGAGTGGACAGCAACTCTTGGGACTATCTTTGCAACTTTTCTGGGCATCTAAAATTATTCCGAAATTAAAAGCTTCCTAAAAACAACAACAAAGAAAGCACCCACAAGTCCACAGTCTGAAACTCTCCAGGGTGGGCTGTCTGTGTCTCAGATTCCAGAATTTATTGCATGTTAGGATAGGGACACGTCAACCTCGCTAGTATTCCTGCAGCGGAACATCTGATTATGTACAATATGAGATAAACAAACATCCTCCCACCAGATCCTTCGAGGCACCCACGGAGAAACCTGGTGAGACCTTCCAGTGTTCCGAGCCTTGGCAATTTGGGGATCCCAGAGGTGTCCGTGAGCTCGCTTGCCCTTGACCGAGTGTTCATGGTGAGCTATGAGCTCGATGCGTACCACCTTGCCTGTGCCTTGGGGGATGACGCTTGGTTTCAATTTTCATATGGGGAAACTGAGTCTCAGATTGGCGAAGGCAATTACGTTGGGTCACATAACTGGTAAGTGTCCAAGCTGGGACTCAAACCCAGTCCTGCCTGAATCCAGAGCCTATGAGCTTTTGAATGACTCTACCTGGATGTCGCCCTTACCCTGGCTGAATAATAACAATTTAAAAAATCACAATGAGCATCATTTAGCTCTTACCATCTCCCAGGTCCTGGGTTAAGGGGCTCTGTGTATCCTCAGTCAATCCTCACAGATTCCCACTATTTTCCCATTTGCAGAGGAGACACGAGGGATCAGAGACGTTAAGTGATCCATGTAGGGCCACACAGCTAGTGGGGGACCAGGGAAGTAAACTCGGGTCCTTATGAGTCTTTCACCAACAAAATGGGACATGGCTGCTTGGGCTGCGCCAGGCATCATCCAATGTTAGTCAATGTGATGTTTCTGTGGATACTGGGAGCCTCAACACCTCCCCTGGGTGCTTCTGGACACAGCATTGAGACCAACGACAGGGGACTGGGCCTTCTGACCCATCCCCTCCCAGTGGCCCTTGTAACTTTCAGGTCTCAGGTCTCCCCCAAAAGTGCAGAGAACCAACTGAAGTCACTCCCAGCAACGCTAACTTTATTTTGTTGCGACGCATTGATTTTTTTTTCTTTCTCTCCCTCTTTTCTTCTGCTTTGTTTCATTAAAGAAAAAAAAAGTCCTGCTTGCCTCCCACAACACAGATTTTTGCAACTCATGAATGGGTCATAACTCAGTCTGAAAACTCCACTGGAGCCCCCTCTCTGCAGCCCGTGACTGTCCTGAAGCCACAAAGGACACTGGAGCCTCTCCAGCCCCTCGATCCCCTGCTCCTGGGCAGAAAAGGGGGAGCGGGCCATATCTGCTTTAGGAAATCCCCCAAAGTCCCTGCACCCCAGACAGGAAGTGGCTGCTTCCTCCTGAGGATGAAGGAGGAAGTAGAACTGGGCAGATGCCAGGAAGAAGGCGGGTGAGCCGTGCCAAGCCCTAGCCATCACGAGGCAGCCCTCGCCAGCTCTGTCCCTGGGGACTCCAGCACCTCATCTGCTCCAGGAGACGTGGCTGCTGGGGAAATACCAAGCCAAGCTTAGGAAGCCAGAGGGGACGAGGAGCTCAGCTTCTGTCCCACTCTGACTCAGACCGGCTGCTGACACCAGACGAATCCTGCCGCCTGCCTAGGCCTCAGTTTCGCCACCTGTCATTGGGGTTCTGTGGCTTTTCTATCCCCGAGGCAGATGAACAGGGCAGTCAGGAACACAGACTCTGGAACCAGAATTCTAGGTTCGAATCACACCTGTGTGACTTCAGGCAAGTCGCACCACCTCTCTGGGCCTCAGTTTCCCTCTTGGGGATACTAGTAGTACCTACCTCAAAATGCTGAGGACAGAGCTGGCTTTCTCATGGCTTTATTCTACTTCCTGTCAGGCACAGACACCCCCCACCCCCACCCCAGCCCCTCCGGCCCTGACCCCCACTGCCATCTTCCTCAAAAAGATCAGCTCCCTCCAGAAAAAAAAATTAATAACTTTTGGGTTCAGTTTCTCTTTTCAAGAAGGTGGAGAGATGTAGAGGCATCTCTCAAAACTGGGCTGGGGTGGCCGAAACCACAGTCCTAGTCCTACCAGAGCTAGAAGGGGCTGCTGACTTGGAGCTAACTGAGTAGTGCTCAGAGTGGTGTCAGGTGGGGACTTCCCCAGCTCCAGGACGGTGTGGTGCAATGTCTGGGGGAAATCCTGAAGCAGGATTCATTCATTCTTTCATGCATTTATTTGTCCATTCATTTAAGCATTTATTGAGCATCTACTGTATATCTGTGCCAGATGCTGGAAACACAGGAGTAAATAAGACAGACATGGTCCCTACCCTCGTGTTATTGGCTGTATAACTGGAGGAACAGTAAACAACTAAACAAATAAGTGCCTGAAAGAACACCCACTAGTGAGGGCTGTCAAGAAAAACCAAACAGAGAAAAAGGGAGGACAGCGATGGAGCCGTCTTTGTAGCCAGGGTAGTTGGAGAAGACTTCTCTGAGGAGGTGACACCTGGGCTAAGACCTGCATGGAGGGAGAGGACCTGCCGTGCAAAGGCTGGAGTGATGCTGAGAGCTCTTGGCAGGGAGAACGGCAGGTGCAAGGGCCCTGGGGTCTCGATGAATGAACTTGAGATGCTCAAGGGAAGATCATCAAAACTGATCGACCTCTAGCCACATGGATCAAGAAAAAAGGAGCAAAGGCACAAATGACCGATATCAAGAAAGAAAGAGGGGACATCACTACAGACCCTACAGACCGTGAAAGGATAACGAGGGAGTATTATAAACAACTTTATGCCAGTAAATCGAACAACTTAGATAAAATGGACAAACTCTCTCAAAGATAAAAATGACCAAAGCTCACTCAAGAAGTACATCGCCTCGATAGCCCTATTTATTTAAAATAATCAATAGCATATATTAATAGATCATTTATTACAAATATAATAATAGCTGATCTATTAGAGACATCAAATAGAAATATAAAAGAAATTAAATCCTCTATTAAAAACCGTCTAGGATCAGATGGCTTCACTGATGATGCTACCGGGGGCCGGCTGTTTAGCTCGGTTGGTCAGAGCGTAGCCTGGTAACCCCAAGGTCAAGGTTCACATCTCCACACCAGCCCCCAGCCTCCCCCTGCCAAAAAAAGTCCCGTGGACATGGACCCCACAGCCTCCCCAAGTCAATCCTGCCCCATCATCCTGTTTTGTTTCCCTCCAGCTCTTCTTGTTACCAGAAATCATTTAATTTGGTTATTAGTTTACATGCTTAATGTCCAGCCTCCTCAGTGGAAAACCAGATCCACAGAGGCAGAAACATTTCCCATCACTTGCCACTGCGTCTGTAGGAGTTACTCAGCAAATCTCTCTCTTTTCTTTCTTTTCTCTCTTTTTTGGGGCGGTGAGGGCAGCTGGCTGCGGTGGGGATCCACACCCGTAACCCAGGAGTTATAACCAACTGAGCTAACCAGCCAGCCAGTAAACCTTGAATGAATGAATGAACAAACCAATCAATGCTAGCCCCAGAGCCAACCCTGGACAAGCCCTCCTGGCCCCTGCTAGGGCGTCAGGACAGGAACGGGCGAGTCCTCGAGGCTGCCCCTCCCATGTGGGCCTGCCGGCCGGGGCCGTTTACACACCTGAGCTTGTCATTCCCGTGACATGACACAGGCAGGTAGGGCGTGCTGGGCCTGCCAGGCAGGAGCCTGGGCCCCGTGGGGCTGCCCGGCTCTGCCACCTCTTGCTCTGGCATATGCCCCGCTCAGTGGACAGGCCTGGGCTCAGGGCCACCACTCACACGGAGGGTGAGCAACTTGGCCTCTCTGAGCCTCAGTCTTCTCATCCAGAAAATGGGTTCCCAAGCTCCCCCTGTCCCCGGGGGGTAGCATGGGTGAGCGTGTGCGGCGTCCACCCCAGGCTGGGGGTCTTCCCTCCCTCCTGGTCCCGCTGCCCGCCATGCCCAGGTCGGGACCCACTCACCCAGCAGCAGCAGCTTTAGCTCAGCACGGTCTTGCTTCTTCTGTTCCAGGAGGATTTTGTTGATCTCCTGGTCGATCCGGGCTGCGGCCTTCTCATCCTCCGTCAGGCACCAGGGGCACCAGCGCCAGGTCAGAGAACGGGCCATGCTGGGGGCGCCTCAGAGGGCACGAGGCGGCATCGCCCCCGGTCCCCGCTGGGCAGGGCCAGCCCCTGCCCCGGGAGACCTCCCGGCTGCTTTCTGTTTGGGGGTCACCCCCAGGCACCCCGACTTCCCTCCCTGAGGAGTGCTGGGAACAGGGCGGGGACCGGGAGGAGGGGACAAGGTGGGGAGGCCCAGGGTTCCCCGCCCACCTGCAGACCTGCCTGGACCCGGCTGAACAGGTTGACAGGCAAAAGGCGCCCGGGAGAGGTGACGTGGGTCCCCCGAGGCGGGCAGGGCAGCGGCCAGCAAACCCCCGACCACAGACTGGGTCCCGCTGTGGCCGCCGGGCCCTCGTTCCTCATTCTGGAGAAGGGATGGCCTCTCCTCGTCGGGTCGCCGATGCCATCCCCGGAGCTGCCACCACGCCTCCCAGCCAATTAGGAACAGGCAGCACAGGGCTGCTACCAATGATTTTTTTAAAAAGGAAATAGCTAAGGCGGGTGGCACCTACTGTTTTAAATGCATCACTGTACTGGCCTGTTTCGTGCTCATGTCAGCCTGTGGTTACTGTTATCATCCCGGTTGTACAGATGGGGAAACTGAGGCACAGAGCAATGGAGGGACTTGCCGGGGACAGCCGGGAGGGGACGAGACAGAGCCAGGAGCCCATCTCCCAGCAGTGGGGCCCCAGAATCTGAACTCACACCAGGCAGCTTTGGGGAGAGACCATTCCCTCATTCTGCAAACATTTATGGAGTACCTACTGTATGCTCCAGACACTGAGGACTCGGCAGGGGACAAATGGACACAAATCCCTGACCTCCTTGCCTGACATTCTAGTTAGGGAGACGGATAATAAAATAAAAATTTTTTTAAATATCTGAGCCTGTCAGATGGTGATAAACTCTCGGAGAAAAACAAAGCAGAGATGTTGGGGACTTGGGTGGGTGGCTTTAAATAGGGGATCGAGGAAGGTCGCACCGGCAAGTGACATGTGGGATCAGAAGTCAGACAGGTTGGGAGTAAAGAGACTTCGGGAGTTGAACTCACTGGTCAAGGGAATCTGCCCTTTGGGGACTTGGGTGGGTGGCTTTAAATAGGGGATCGAGGAAGGTCGCACCGGCAAGTGACACGTGGGATCAGAAGTCAGACAGGTTGGGAGTAAAGAGACTTCGGGAGTTGAACTCACTGGTCAAGGGAATCTGCCCTCCAAGGCCATGGGGCCACCCCTCCCTAATACCCCTTGAACCCCAGGGCCCTAGAAGTAGAATGGGAGGGGGATTGGGGAGGGGGTAAAAATATCACTGCTTTCTGACACTCACAACTAAAGGGCAGGTTGTCTCTAATCCAGCAATGTTTGGGTGCAGAACCCTCTTTCAGAGGCTCTAGAAAATTCTAGAATGTTCTAGAAAGTTCTTGATCAACCCCCTGAGCTACACATAATTTGGGGGGCTTCTGGAGCCCTCACTGGTGGCAAAATCAAGGATCCAAGAGGGTGAGTGATGTGCCTAGGGTCACACAGCCATTGGCAGCAACAGTCCCCTCACCTCCTCCACCCCTGGGCTCGTCGACAGCCGTTGACGGGTCCCACACCAGCCCAGCACGAACCTGCGGTTTTCTTTGCTGTTGATTCATAACGAATGGCAGATGGAAAGTATGATTGGGGCCCCCATCGGGTCACTGACGCCAGAAGGCGCTGCCCTGCCCACCCCCGTCCCACCCCCAACCGGATGGCGGTGAGGAGCCTGAGGCCAGAGGCCTGGGACGCCTCTTACTCTGGGGCAGGTGAAGAAACGCAGAAATAGGTCGTGTTCGTGCAGAAGCTGGGAGTGCTGCAGGGAAACAGAAATCGCCTGCAAAACTGGAGGCCAGGCTGAGTCTCAGGCCCACCAGCACAGAGGGCCACCCCTCCTGGTATCTCTCTGCTGTCCGTTTCTGACAGGACACAGCAGACCCCAGCATGCCACAACCTGAACTGGGGTGTCAGACCCTCACTGATACCTTCCGTGGCTACCACTGGCCTCAGATCCACCCCGGGGCTGGCCTCTGCTCACTTCTGCAGCTTCATAACAACGTTCCCTTCTAGTTCCCCAAACAGGCAGAGCTGCTTCCTTTCCACATGCCGGGTCCTGTCCCGCACATTTGTCATGTGTGAGTTTAGTTCATTTGGGAATTTGGGGATACAGGGTGAGCTTACGTGTGTATATAATTAAAAAAAAATAAAAAACAGAAAACACATAAAACATGAACATGTAACCTCATAAATTGCTGTAAAACCAGCATCCGCAGGATCCACCCAGGCCAGGACTAAAGACCTCATGAGCCCCACAATCACCCCAATGTTCACCCCAGTGGAGCCTCCTCTGTCCCACCCAGCGGCAACTGTTATTCTGACCTATGATATTCATTTCTGTGTTTGGGGAGTCTTTTCTCATGGTAAGATTTGCTTCTTTTTTAAATTTACGTAGCATTGCATTCACTTTTTTCTGTGTGCAGTTTTATGGGTTTCAGCAAACGTAGAGATTGGTGTCAGTTACCACCATTCACAGGATACGGAATGTGGTTCCATCACCTGACAACGCCCCTCCGGCGGGCCAGCCTCTCATGTCACAGCCTACGTCCACTCTGAGCCCCGGCCGCCATGAATCCGCTCTTTGTCGCCAGTTTTCATCCTTTTGGGAAGGTCGTACACATGGAATCATCCGTGATAGAGCTCTCGAGACTGGCTTCTTTCTCTAGCATTCGAGATTCCTCTCTTTTGCTTTTCTTTTTTTTTGGTGGGGGCAGCTGGACGGTTCGGGGATCCGAACTTGTGCCCTTGGCAGTACAAGGCTGCACTCTGACCTACTGAGTCACCTGCCAGCCCTCGTCCCTTCCGCTGGGTGTATCACAGGTTCCTTCCTTTTATTGCTGAGTGTTATCCCCTCGTGTGGAGGAAACACCATTTATCTGTTCATCCATCCAAAGACATTGCGGTTGCTTCCAGTCTGGGACAATCATGAACAAAACTGCACACACATTCACGTACAGGCTTTGTATGCAATTGGTTTTTATGTCTCTAGGATAAATTCCTAAAACGGGATTGTTGGATCATATGGTAATCATGTCTAACTGCGTACGAAACTCCAGAAAGGTTTTCCAAAGTAGCCGCCCCATGTTGCTTCCCTACAAGCAATAAATGGAAAGTTCCCGTTGCTCTGATTCCTTGTCGGCACTGTTTATTGCCAGCATTTTTAATTTTTAGCCACTCTCATGTGTGCATAATGGTTTATACTTACAGGTTTAATTTGCATTTCCCTGACAACTAATGCCGTTGAGTATCTTTTCGTGTGTTTATCGGCCGTTCACGTATCTTCTTTGGTGAAGTGTCTATTCAAATATTTTGCCATTTCTTTCATTGATTTGTTGATTATTGAGTTTTGAGAATTCTTTATATATTCTAGACACAAGGACTTTATTGCAT